GGCTGGACCTACTTGAGGGTGGAAGGTGCGAGGAGGGTAAGGATCGGAAAAACTGCCTTTTGAGTACTACACTTATTACCTGGGGAGGAAAAAATCTGTATCCAAATCCCTTGCAACATGTAATTTACCTGTATAACAAACCTGCACATGTACCCCTGAACCCAAAATAAAAGTTAAAACAAATAATAAAAATAAAGTGAAGCCCCACCGGGGCGAGCAAGAAATCTGGGAGCCCAGGCATTTTCCTGGAGGTGGCTGGGTGGGCGGTGGGAGTGGACAGAGCTGGGCAGTGACTGCTGCCAGGGCAGGGGCTGGCGCGAGGGACGGGGGTGGGGGGCTGGGCAGGCATTGGTGTCGCCTCGCAGCAACAGTTGGGTGGCTTCCAGCTTATGCCAAGGAGTCTCCTCCTCACCCGCATATCGCGGGGCTAGGATGGGATGTCGTGGCTGCCAAATCCTCCGAGGCAACTCCTGCCTAGGTCGGCCTCCCACAGGACAGGCCTGAGAATCCGGGGCCCAGGCTCCGGCCGCGAGGGCACCTTCCCCCGCCCGCGGACCCAGCCTTCCAGAATCACCGGGGTTCGCGGAGAAAGAGGAAAGGCGTTTGGCCTGCCAAGGCCGCCGTAGCGAGGGGGCGGGGCCCGGAAGAGCAGGATGGCGGCGCGGGACAGTGATAGCGACGAGGATCTGGTCAGCTATGGGACCGGGCTGGAGCCTCTGGAAGAAGGTGCGGGCCGCATGGGCCGGCGGAGCCTGTGGAAAACAGGCCAAGGGCCCAGGATTCGGGCCACAAAAGCACAAGTCGGTGCTGGACCGTTGTTAGATCGTTCCCAGCGCTGGGAACACGGCGGCGAGGGAGGTGTTCGCCGCGCTCTCTGGGTGCTCACCTTCTGCAGCGGCAGAGAGAGACTTACAGGGATGGGAGACACAAGCGTGGCCGAATAAGGGGGCGGCGGGATAGAAAGAAGAAAATGACGGAATAGCTGGTGTGAGAGCGGGGGCTGCTTAGGCAGTGTCTTCCCCAAGAGAGTACGTTTGAGCTCAGACTTGAAACCGAGGAAGAAAACAACCATGGGCAATCTGGAGGGAAAGCATTTCGGGCAGAAGGAACATAAAGTGCAAAGGCCCTGAAGTGAAAGCCAGTTTAGGAAATTGAGGGGCAGGCAGGACGGGTGTGGTTGCAGCAGACGACAGAGGGGGAGACAGGTAGAAGAGGATGTCAGAGGGGCTGGCAGGGGCTGGATCTTATTTGGTAGGGTAAAGAGTTTGGATCTTGTACTAAGTGCAGGATTTGGGTTAGGGTTAGGGTCATGGGAAATTACACAGGGAGGGATATATCTATATCTATATATTTGATTTTTAGAGACAAGGTTTTGCTCTGTTTCCCAGGCTGGTCTTGAACTCCTGACCTCAAGTGATCCTCTCACCTCTTGCCTCCCAAAGTGCTGAGGTTACATGCGTGAGCCACTGTGCTCGGCCAATTTTTAGTATTATTCTGTCTTTGATGTTGAGAATACACTGTTTGGGGATGGGTAAGAGTGAAGCAGGGAGATTAGCAAAAACAGGGCAGGAGATGATGGTGGCATGGACGGGACAGTTAGCAGTGGCGGTGGTGTGTAGTGGTCTGGGTGGAGATATATTTTGAAAGCAAAGCTGACCATACTTGCTGGTGGAATGTGGGGGTGAGGGGCAAGATGAATCAAGGTTCTCTCCTGTGTTTCTGGTCTGTTCCACTTAATGACTTGTTCAGCAAAGTATGTATTGAGTGTCCAGTAAGGGCTGTTGGCTGTGCTAGCCCTGTGGGGAAGGCAGAGGAAGAATGGTGGAATCATTGGGCCACAATTTATTTGCAGACCTCCTGTTGGTGGGGGTCCCCTCCTTTTTCTCACCCTGACCACATCCTGCCAGGTTGATTGTGCTTCTGGGATATCTCCACTTATGCCCCTTTTATTTCCTACAAACAGTTCTGGTGGAAACTTCTGCCGGATACTGGCCCTACTTCTACCCTCGGCTTACAAAAGGTTGAGAAAGGGGCCAGGCACAGTACTTCACACCTGTAATCCTAGCACTTTGGGAGGCTGAGGTGGGAGGATTGCTTGAAGTCAGGAGTTTGAGAGCAGCCTGGGCAGTATAATGAGACTCCGTAACAAACAAACAAACGGCTGAGAAAGGCTAGTCTTCTGAATGCTTTTTATGTGTTTAAAGTCAGCTGTTGCATTTCCTTAAGACATCTCTGTATCCCAGGTTCTTTGTTTTGTAGAGACAGGGTCTTGCTGTTTTGACCACGCTGGTTTCAAACTCTTGACCTCAAGTGATGCTCTCACTTTGACTTCCCAAAGTGCTGGATTACATGCGTTAGCCACAGTACCCAACATTTTTTATTTTAAAAATAGAGACGAGGCCGGGCGTGGTGGCTCACGCCTGTAATCCTAGCACTTTGGGAGGCCGAGGCAGGCAGATCATGAGGTCAGGAGATCGAGACCATCCTGGCTAACACAGTGAAACCCCATCTCTATTAAAAATACAAAAATAGTAGGCCGGGCGCGGTGGCTCAAGCCTGTAATCCCAGCACTTTGGGAGGCCGAGACGGGCGGATCACGAGGTCAGGAGATCGAGACCATCCT